CGCCCGCGCGCGCGCGCGCGCGTGCGCGCGCGCGCGCGTGAACTGGTGCGCGCATGTCGAGTGCCATGTTATGGAGTTATGCCAGCATCCTTCGAAATCCTGCCGCCCGAAACCCTTTCCGGAGCCACTGATGCTGCTGATGCTCGCCCCCCGGGTCCCCAAAGAGAAACGAAGCCTCGATGATGCGCACCCTGGCCCTCCGCCCGGCCGCGCATCATGAGCATCAGCGGCTCCGGCCTCCAGGCATGCATGGCTTATAGGAGCATATGCCGGCCTCAAAACGGAAATGTCCGTAACAGCACGAAAACCACGGTATTTACAGCGATTTCTGTGTTTTCCAAGCTCTCAGCCGCATCCGAAACCCAAAACCCAACCCGCTGATGCTCATGATGCGCGCTCTTGTGGGGGTCCTTTGCGGTGGCCAATGCCACCCAAAAACATCAGCAACGCGTATTTGGCCAAAGTTGAAAAAGAGAGTCGATGATGCTCTCCGGGGTCGTTTTTGGGACCCCCCATGGGGCACCCAAAAAATGCGTCCAGGAGCCCAAATTCGGTGGGAAATAGCGCGTTTTTCGCGATAAAAATTGTACCTGAAAATTGATGCCCTTCGGGAGCCGCATTTGGAGCCGGATGTTGGGGAGCCAACCGGGTCAGCGGCTTAACCCCCCCCCGTGGTAGCTAAAGCTAGGGCTGGCGCCTAACGGCGTCGGACCACGGGCGTGCCCGGATTTCAGGCCTAGCGGCACGGGCCGGCCCCCGCCCCCCAAAGCACGAAACCTTGAACCTTGGCACTGTCTTCTCTTTCCGTTTTCTTTGTCCTTTGTCTTTGTCTCTCTCCTCTCGCTCTCTTTCCATTTTTCTTTGTCCTTTTTCTTTTTCGCTCTCCTCTCTCTCTCTCTCTCTCGCTCTCTCGCGTGTTTTTTTCTGTCTTTGTTTCTTCCTCTCTCTACTTGCCTGTTTTTCTTTTTCTCTGTCTTTATCTTTCTCCTCTTACTTCCCTGCGCTTCCTTGTTTTTATTTCCTCTTTCTCTTTATCTTTTCGTCTCTCTTTATCTTTATTCTCCTCTGCTTCCTTGTTTTCATTTTCTCTTTCTCTTTATCTTTTTTGTTTCTCTTTCTCTTTATTCTCTGTCTCTTCAATATCTTTTTCCTTCTACTTCTCTTTGTCTGTCTCTCTCTCTCTCTCTCTCTCTCTTTCTCTTTCTCTTTCTCTTGCTGTTGGTCTTTCTCTGTTTCTTTTCCTCTCTTTGTTTCTCCTTCACCTCTCTCTTTTTTCTCTTCTTTCTGTTGCTGTTAGTCTTCCTCTGTCTGTCTCTCTCTCTCTCTCTCGCTCTCTCTCTTCTTTGTTTTTTTTTTTTAATCTCTCTCCCTCTCTATCTTCTCACTTTCTCTTGTTCGTTCACCTTTCTCTTCTTTCTTCGTCTCCTTCTCTCTGTCTCTCTTTCTCCTGCCTTCGCCCCCCCCCCCCCCCCCCCCCCCCCGCCCCCGCGCGCGCGCGCGCGCGCGCGCGCACCCGCATCAGGAGCATCAGTGGGGTTGGTTTGGGGGCCTTAAAAGCATTCTATTCATGCGTTCTGCCTTCGAAAAACCTTCAGAAAACGCTGTAAATACGTGTTTTTGGGCTTGGGAAGCCTTTTGGGACCCAGGAAAGGGAGCATCATGAGCATCAGCGGCCTCCCCCAGGCCATCCAAAACCCCCTTAAACACACCGATTGTATGTGCTTGAACGCTTGCGTGCCCACGAAACCCCCAAAAGCAAGACCCCGAATGCCCTTAAGGGCATTCGGGGTCTGCTGTTCGGGTGTTTTGTAGGCACGAAGCCGTTCGAGCGCGTAAAATGAGCGATTTTAGGGGCGTTTTTGCGTGGACCCACAAAACACTCGGTATTTACGAGGTTTTCTGCTGTTGGAACACCCCCCCAAACCGAGCATCATGAGCATCAGCTGGGTCTCTGGGCCGTGGGCCCGGACCCCCCCACGAAGCCCATGAGAAACGATGGCTCGATGATGCACCCGGACCCCGCGCATCAGCAGCATCAGCAGACCCCCCCCCCCGACGTGGGTTTCGATGATGCGCACTTTGGGGGC